ACTTGGCAGCCCATCACTCCACCATCTCTCTCTCCCTGTTGCATGTCCACAAGTGAATGAAGTGTGTATTTCAGTGTGTTAAATGTAAAATAAAAAAAATGCAAAGAACAATTTCCCCAATAGGGGATTAATAAAGTATATATTCTTCTTCTAAAACTTATTATCATATTACAATCTAACAAAATATATATAGAACAGAAATGTAGAGGTATACATATATATATATATATATATATATATGTATACATATATCAGTTTATTGACTGATGACTCAGACACTCTGAGGGAGGAGTTAAAGAGTTTTATGGATATGTTTCTGCATAATATGTGAACTTGAGAAGTCGTGTACCAGACTTTTCTTAAATCTGGAGAACAAGCTTTTTAGGTCAGGGCACCTCTTCAGTAGTAAAGTACTACATTATTATCTTGTCACACATTTTTATCTTTATCAGAAAATTGCAGCTTCTGTGATTTACATATTGCACTTACTGTGTTTTCGATAATATTTCGATTAACTGTGCAGCACTGCTAAAGCCTACAATCGCTTTTTTATCTTTAATTTCACATTAAAGGCTCCTTATAGCAGTCTTTTATATCTCTCTCTCTCTCTCTCTCCACTGACACACGTAAAATTTACCAGTTGATGGATTTAAACTTTCTGTCCTCTATTGACAACCAGACAATCTAACAGTTGCTGCAGGTTAAAATGAAGCAGGTCATCCATTGAACCCCTGTTTTGTGTCATTCTGTACTGTTCTCTGTCTGCCAGCTGCAGATTTTAAGTCTTCTTTTGGGTAATTTTGTTCACACTCACTGGTTTTCTTTCAACACTGTAGTTCGATCAATAGAAGCAGTCTCGCAACTTGAAGATTGCCTGCTCCTGAGATCAGCTCAGAAAAAGTGTGCAGAGAAAGTACATGAGTAACAACCACTGTCAGAGTGGCCCTGCAAATGCATTAAATCATCTGACTTTTATTTACCTTTTGCTGCAGACTACCTTCATATTGTCACGATAGAGAGGAGTAAGAAACCCAGCAGCAGGAGGCTCTAGTGGAGGAATACATCACAAATTTTGTTTTTCTTTTGGGCTCCAGGATGACGTTTTGTTTTTAGTTTTCGTAGCAGAAATGTGTTTACATCAGCACAATGTTTGCTCAGATTGGGTGGGAGTGTCTAATATTTTACATGGACGGTTTTACAAGTCTCTGTGTGTTTTGAGGCTAGAAATCTCAGTGTGTGCGTGGACATATTCATTGAGTCACTGCTGTTGAACAACCTCATCATTCCCCTGCAAATATACGAAGAAATATCATTATATTAAATCATTATTGATCAATCGTCAGTTTAAATTAATCACTTAACGTTTTAAGTCTGTAAAAAGGTCAGAGAGCTGCAACAATTTCTTTGATTTATACATAAGTCGATCAAAACATAATCTGCAATTATTTTGAAATTTAAATCTTTAGCTTTTGAACTGTTTGTTTGATGAAAAGTATTCATTTATAGATGTAATTTTTCTATATTTCCATATATTTTAGAGGCAAAATGATAAATCAAGCAGATAAATCAATAGTGAAAAAATAATCTATAGTTGTAGCCTTAAAATGGTGATAAATGCCCACCACAGTATCTAGATATAGATCTGAAAATCGCTTGTTTAGTCTGACCAACAGTAAAACATTAATAATTATTGAAAAGCAGCAACACTGATTATGATTATGGACAGCATCACTGTTCATAATCTCTGCAGTCGTGATGAGAGATGCAAATGCTGAAAATGAGGCCAGGAAGCTAAATATTTCTCACCTCAACCTGCCACAGTGCATTTATAATGTGATTTAAGTCCCCTTTGGAAGCTATTAATATTTCACTGGAAGGTGGGATATTTGTGTGCTCCTTGAATTTCCCTCGGGATAAATAAAGTATCTATCTATCTTCGTAATTTGCAGGAGGAAACAGAACAGAGCTGATGAACTATATGATCTTTGTTACCAGCTCGCTTATCAAATGATTTAATACTATTATTATTAATATTAAAGCCTATATGTAACTATGGTCCACACACATTATTATTTGTACATGGCAATAAAAAAAAACAGGTGAGACAGGAAATAGGATAGACGCGGTTGTAAGCAATAACCTGCGGGAGCTAGCGTGGCTAGGTCGTTGGGCTGATATCGGCCGGTACACAGACAATACATCAATTTATTGCTGGTTTTGGTCTTTTTAACTTTTTCATTTGTTGACAAGAAAAATATATATATCACCAGACTTACTTACAACTATAATGTTGTTCATCTTCTGCCATTTAAGGGTCAGTGTGTGGGATTTAGTGACATCTAGTGGCCAAGTTGCACATTTGAATACAGCTAATTCATAAAGGAGGACCTTGCTCCCTCTGTAGAACGGCTTGCTTTAAGGTAACGGAAACACAACGATTTTTATTTTCAGGTTATTATATATGAATATTATAGTCCCTTTCTGCCATTATATCCTTCTAAATGTTACACACTGGACCTGCTACATGCTTCGACTCTACTACATTTAAGAGGGAAACATTGTACTCCACCAGGTTTATCTGACAGTTTAAGATTTCACAAACAAAAGATATAATAGTAATAGTAACATATGATACTGTGCTATGGATTAAACTATCCAATAGTATACAACGTAGTTGAAATGTGCTCCACCTCCAACAGCTGTAACATTAAAATGCTGCTTACATAATGAAGCGTCAGTAATGTAAAACAGACATGGTCTGTAGAGGATCTTTAACAATGAATGACTCCCTCAGTTCTGTGTGGATATTATTATTATTATTATTATTATATGTTAAGTAAATATTTCACTCATGTTAACTGCAATATTATAGAGAATTCATTTCATGATAGAGGATTGCCATTATAAAAGTAGTGTCAGTTTCCACTATATTATGAGCTTGTAACCATAACCACAGTGAATTTTAATGATCTTCAATGTTCCCCCAAATACATTGCCCATAAACAACATGTTGGTTAAAGTTAAAGGTTAAAATGTTTACTTCTCCTCAGAATATGTGTGTTCCTCTGAGAGTGTTTGTAGTTGTAGATAATTTATCTGGTTTACACACTCTGTCACTGAATTGCTGTAGCTGGTTCCAGTATAGGCTCAGGCAGCCTCCGTCTGGTAAAGTGTGTGTAGAAATGTGCAATCTCTATGAAAGCCATTTTGAGCACTTTTGACTGTATAATATTTCAGCCGCAGGCCTCCCTCTTCTATTTATTTCATTAGACCGTTGGCAGGAAAACGCGTTATGTAGCATATCAGTATTACATTTTTCAGTAAGCACGGAGGGATTTGACAGTCTGCATTCTCTAACTGAACTCCATCTTCAGCTGTCTGTCTTTATGAAATAATAATTTGTAAGATCTTGTTTTTGAAGTTATTATTTTGTTGGCTCAGTCTACTGCACAATGCTGTCATGTTTCCTCAAGATCAGCTGTCAATCAAACGGCGTGGGAGGTTCTGTGACATCTTTATTCTGTTGTTTTATGTTCAACCAATTTGCAAACGCTGCTTGTACTTAATATCCTGTCCTTGTATACTTTGCATTTGAAAGTATTGTGTTTTTCTGGCAAAAAGTCAAAGATACATGGATGTATACACACAAATTTTGAAGGAGCATTTTGGCAATAAACACCTGAGTCACAGTCAATCACAGAGCTTAAAATTCATATTGTGTGCTTCTAAAGATGACGGTTTTGACAAAACTGACAATGCAGTGTGCAATTAAAATGGTTTTCTTATGAATTCTGGGTCAATTTTGAATGAATTCAGCAACTATGGTGTAATGTTTTGTTCTCAAAGTGTTTTAACTCGATGTCGCTCTGATTTGCCTCTTTTTAACTGTCTTTATTCCCATAGCGACTGCGACCAAACCATGTGTTTAGGATTTAGAGCCATTTTCAACGCCTAACTGACAGAAAAGTTGAAATAGGTAAAACTTGTGACCATAACATAAACTTTTTGGAGATTCCTGTGTTTATAATATTCGCTCGTATTCCTTGATAGCAGCAGTGAATGTACCACACTGACCTCGGGCAGCTGCTCTCCTCTCTCCAGGATGTCCCGCAGGTGACGCGCTCTGACACTGTTAGACTGCAGCTCGGCACACAGCAGGTCACCCGGGGTGATGCGTCGCAGGCCGAACCTCTCCTCCATCCGCTCACACTGCAGAGATTTCCCTGAGCCTGGACCACCTGAGAACAGCCCCCCCCACACACACACAGATAGACAAGGAGGGGTCAGTCCATCCTCGCAGACAGGTAATCACTGAGACAGAATACAAAGTGAAGCGACGATGGCAAGGAGAGAAATTGAAAGGTGAAAGAAGAGCATGAAAGAAGGAGGCAACAGGAAATAGAGGGTGTGTGTGTGTGTGTTTGTGTGTTTGTGTCACTGATTCATTGCTGGGGGCTGAGAGGCAGCTTATCACAGATGAGGATATCACACACACTGGTAGTGTATACTTGTGAGGTCCTCTCATTGACATGATACTTTCTCTAGCATCTAACCTCAACCCTAATCAGTGGTGACTTCACTGTACTTCAGTACAAATTGGCACTACAGTTATTTTACAGCTTTAGTTACAATTTACTTTACAAATTAAGATTTTACAAACAGAATAAGAAAATTAGATTAGACTAAACGACAGTGAATACAATGAGAGCAGAAATGATTAGTTGATTAATTGATAGAAAGTTGGCGTAAATTGGTTCCAATTACTACTAATTATGACATCATTTCTGGAGAATGCAGAAAATAATCAGCAAATTAATCCATAATGAAAATAATCATTAGTTGCAGCCTTAAATAAAATAGTTTAAAAGTAGTTATGTTTTCCCCATATTCAACAGTTATAGCATCTCCCTGCGCTGAAAACACTTGATTTCAACAACACATGATGGGATACAAAGTAGATATTTTCAAGCATAATCTGGATAAGATTTAGTGGCATCTAGTGGTGTAGTTGCAGATTTCAACCCCCTTTCCTCACCCTCCCGTACCAAGCATGCAACTACCAAACTCTCTTAAAATACGAAAGGCCCTATCTGGAGCCAGTGTTTGGTTTGTCCCTTCTGGGATACTGGAAAACAAGACAAACAACAATGCTTATTTTTAGATGATTATACACTAATGAAAACATTCCCCAACATGTTACACAACAGACCTTTTTTAATTCATTAATCAATAATAAATATAATTGTTTGTTGCAGCTCTAGAACATACAATAACTTAACATAACCCTAACCTAAATCTTAATCCAGTCTTTAGACTTAGAAGTAAAAGAGCAGGCAGCGAAGAACACAGAAGAAAAACACAGTTTTACTAGTCAAACAACATTTATTAATTAAATTTCCATCTAAAATATTAAAAAATATTTCAGCCGTCTCAGCAGTCGTCTATCTGCTGTCACTGCTGTGCTGTGAGGCCTGTAGGTCTTTTATCGTAGGTTTAATGTATTACGTGACCATGAAGCTTTGTGAAGCATCAGGAGGAAGTGGTGATTTATCATAACCAGCCTTCAGCCCAGTAATAAAAACTCAGGATGTGCTTCACATTCATCAGCATTCACCTCGAGTGCTCAGAAACTATCGTCCTCATGCGCACGGACAGATATGAGTGGGGCTCGGTCCGCCCAGGGACAACCGTGACCGTCAGAAAAGGTCCTTAAGACATTGAGGAACGGTTATGGATTAATTCATTGTACATTCGGCACATATTCACTGACTTCATATATTTCCCCAGCCTCAAAATGCGTCCCTCCGTCCATGCCTGCTCGTTAGAAGTATTCCTCTGCTGCTTGACACCTCTGCCAGGAGGTAAAATAATGACCCACTAGGGCTGAAGCAAAAGCCCCAAGCTGCTTGTTAGTGGAGTGAGTCGGGTCAAATTCTGCTGTGTAAACTAGCTCTGTGGTATAGTTTTCTCGCTCTGAGACCATTTGAAATTTAGATGAACTGGCCTTGAGAGTATTTAAACATAGAGTATTTGAAAGTTTTCTGTGCTGTTTTATACTATATTAAATGTTAAATGCATTAAATGAATTTACTTATTTACCATATACACAGGATTTTTTTGTGTGCTCATGAAATGTTTTCAATTTGACTTAAACCTTAAATAACTAATTTATTTTGTCCACTTGCGTGGTGTTGTGAACTAAACACTGACATTTCATCACATTTTAAAGTTGATAAAGCAAACATGTTGCCAAACACTTGATTATTTACACATCCAACACTGGCCAGTCTCTTTTTTTTTAACTTTTGGTCTCCAGTAACTGGAAAGAAATCTGGCTTTTTAGTTGCTAAATGCTTCACTATGTTCACAGCTAGTTGCTAAGGGGAGCTGCAGATTCAGGTGATAATCCTCCGTAGGTTCAACACCCCTTTCACATGAATAATTTTGCATGATTTAATCAGAACACATCTGACAAACTATCTGTTTGGGCTGAAATTAAGCAGACATATAGGTAACAGTGTGCCTTTTTGACTTTTGACCAAACTTCAATATTTTACTGTCAGATCTCAGTGCAGTATTTGATACGGTTAATCATGGTCTGTTATGATGCTGTCTTCATTGTTAGATAATAAGCATCTACGCTAATTTGTGGCATGGTTTCATTCTGATTTGTTCATCAGAACTCATTGTGTACTTCATTATAATAATAAGATCAATCTTCCACAGTTATGTCTGGTGTACCTCAAGGGTCTATCCTGGGTCTCCTTCTCTTCTATAATGTTACTATTAGGTGAAATAATTCCTAATTATCGGCTCCATTTTCATTGCTATGCTGATTATGTGCAAATCCAATCCTTTAAATCCCTTTTAAGTCACTCAAATCTTCACACTTGCCTGTCTAAAATTAAATGCTTTATTATTGAAACTAAATGTCTTAATGCTATTGTTAAACATGAATGAAATCAAAATGCTCATTGTTGGACCATCCAAAATTCATACATTTATTTAAAAATGCCCATGGATCTTGGTGTCATATTTCATGTCACTTGAATCCCAGATTCAAACCTGAATATGAAACCTGGACAAAAAAGAAAAATCTAAAACTACAGCTTTACAAGTCAGACCATTTGTCGAGCATTAGGTGTGAGCGTTAGCAGGAGTTCGCACTCTGTTCACCTTCTAGTTTCTCTACTGATGTTCAGGTAGGTGGAGGTTAAGATATGAGAAACCCAAATACTCCTGCCATGTGTGAACAGCTCTGTCACAGCGATGTCCTCGATAAGAGCCAAAGTGACAGATGGATTGTATTAGATGGAGATGGAGCAGGAAATAACCCAAAGAGGGCAGAGGACCATGTAGAGGAAAATAATCTCTCTAGTAATTTCATTTTTGAATTCCATTCCTGCTACATAAATCTTTTCAAAACCTCAAAGCTACAGCAGGTAATACTTTTTATGTAAAAAAAATCTATGAAATGACAAATGGGTTGCAGACGAGACAAGCTCCTGGCCTCCAATGATTTAGATGCTTCAGTTATTGTCACCTGTTTCCGATGTTGCTGATGATCACTGGCAGCAAAATCAAAACTAAAAGGAAAATGCAAAAATGTTCTCTCGAGCAGCAGCGAGTCAGGGCTGCATTGATCGAGTGCTGGATTCCCAGGATATGATTGAATCTGTAATGATGAGCTGTTTTCTTTCCGCTGTCGCCATCCACTAGAAGAGAGTGAGGACTTTGGAGGGTGTTCTTTACCGATGTCAAAAAAATATATTTTTGAGTGATAAACTCATAAAGTGATTAAGTAAGATAGTAATGTCTGGACATCAGACCCATAAATGTGGAGTAAAGTTTGCTATTACTACTAGTGAAACAACAAATGATGATCTTTATTGTTCATTTTTATTTGTTTAACTGAATAATTGTCTATAAAATGTCAAAAAAAGAAAAAGGAAAAAAGGAGTCTCTTTTTTTTGCCAGAAAACACAGCCTGTGTATCCAAGACCTGACATATATTGTGCCTTCCCAAAAACTATTCAAACACATCAATGAGCCACACTGTTGCACTGGAGTACATATATACGCATATATAGAGTTCAGAATGTGTGTTAATTCACAGCTGAAAATAGTTCCTAATAAATTGTCTATAAACTCCTGTTTGAGTAATATTTACCACTGCAGCCCGACTGATTGCACACAGTGATGGTGCACATGTTGTCCCATATGTGTCGTTATGAAAACAGATTTTTTCCCTGGTATAAAATGCAAAAAAAGATGCTTGTGGTAAAACACTGGAGTCCCTGCAAAGTTTTATCCAGCAGGGTGCGCTATGATTTTCAATACTATGGTGAACAGCAGAGAGTAAGAGAAAAGAAGCAGCTTTCAGTCAACGTCAACTAGAATTGATTTACAATGTACATGTATTTAAAAATATTTAACTGAAATATTCTTTAATAAAGTTATTTGTTTAAGACCTTTGCATAGTTATATTGGTGCAAGATACACAGAAAAAAAGAAAAAATCGCTACATTGGCCGCCATATCAGTAATTTGTGGACATTTCCCTCTAAAATTAGTATCGGTATCATCTTAAAAAATCCCATGTTTGGTCGGGCTTCATTTACTACAAACTACATCGTCCTGCTGTTTTGTGAAATTACTGAGCCTTTTAAAAAAAAGTACTGAGAGAAAGACTAATTAATTGCTGGTTATGGTCTTTTTAATGGGAAATATTGACAATCAGGAAAATAAAGATTAATACAGAACATAAGTCAAACTGATTTTACCTCTTACACCTACAACGGTTCTTTTCAGTATTTACTGTAAATGTAGGCCTAAGTCCGATAACAAGGGTAAAAAATGGTAATTTTCTGCAGGGAGTGAAATAGAAATGCGGAACACTGAAGAGAGAGAGCGCAGTGGGATGAGAACATGAAGGATAGAAGATGGGAACAGGGAGAAAAGAAAAAAGGCTGAAAGCACAGACACCAGTGAAACCTCACATTAGCATTTCCCTCAGGCGCCATCACCTCCTTTTTTCTGAAGCACCGCTGCAGAACAAGGCTTCATCTTTTCCACTAGTTATTATAGTCAGGGAGGAACTGGATGGGTAAACCCACATAGAGTGAAACCACCTAAAAACTTTTCTCATCCAACTTTTAATTACAGCAGTTTTGAGAACATAAATTAATGTATAATATTTTCTACCTGAGCAGATACAAATTTTAATAAGAGATTGCAAC